TTGTGAGATGAATATGATAGAATGGGGCAGTTTTAGCAAATTCAGCAACTAAAGATTGTGTTGTGACAGCTTGGGGGAAACTTTGATAGGGTTTTGTATTCCAACAATTCTGGAGGACTGCCAGGAACAGAACAAATCTTTACCACAGAGGAAAACTACCTAAAGTGGCCAGCTGAAGTTTGCCAGTCCCCAGATCATGCTATTTTAGAGCGTATTCCCCCTTGAGCCTTCTCCAGGAATCTGGATTGCTATCCATAAAGGAGGAACGCTTCTTAGGGACTGTAAGGCAGTACTGCACAGCACAAATGGCAGACTGACCTCACTTACAAGGAGGACCACTTGCCCTGGGTCTGAAAGCTTTTTTTTTTTTTTTTTTCCCTTTCTTTCTCCCCCCTTCTGTGATTTCACAGAACCGCAGAATGGTTGAGGTTGGAAGGGACTTCTAAAGATCATATAGTCCAACCCCCTGCTCCACCAGGGACACCTAGAGCATGTGGCACAGGGTTGCATCCAGGTGGATTTGAAGATGCCCAGAGAAGGAGACTCCACAATGCGTCTAGCCAGCGTGTTCCTGGGCTCATGACATGTATTGTATAATTAACACATGGTTTGTCCTTCAGAAGGAGTCTAAGAAAACTGTTCCTGTATAGGAACAAATCTGATACAGTTTCTCAGAGGAATTGTTCATATGGAAAGATGAGTCACCTGGTTGTGATCAAAGCCAATGTAATTATTCACTTGTGGAGGCATGTCAGACACCATATGTCAATAATATACCTTTGATATGTTGGTGCCTGATTATTTTTTGTAACATCTGAATGGCATGTGCTTAAATGTAAACATCCGTGCTGTGCTTGTACTGCACTGCCTGTATTTTCCTATTGGCTAAGAGTTTGGTTTGAACTCAGAGATGAGATTCATCCTATTTTAAAGAAATATCTTTTTTTTATTATTATTTCTCTGTGTGTAAATGTTTATATCCTTTCATAGATGAGGAAGGCATTGTAAAAAACATTTTTCCCTTTCCATGAAGAAAGTGAACTCATTTTCCAGGCAAAATTTAAATGTGATTTGATTATAAGTTTATTAAATGTATTTTTTTGTTGTTGTTATGTTGCTCAATATTAATGAGCAGTATCTTACTACCAAAATGATAGGTGTTGTGCTTGTACTGGGAATAACTGGAGGGTCTGGAAGTGGATGTCTAACACAAAAGTAGAGAAGGTGCTGGAGAAGCATTGCAAAGTGAGGGGCCGTGCTGGCTGGCAGGAGGGTTGTGCTGGCACAGCAGCGTGTTGGCAGGATGTTGCTCTCAAAAGAAACACCCACAACAGACGCTGGGTAACAACCTACTAACGAATGCTTCTTATAAACACAGTGCTGCTTTTGTGAACTGCTCCTCTCAGCCCTTTTGGTAAGGACCAGCCTCCTTTGGCAGTGGATGCCAAAGACTGGCTCTTGATGGATTTAACCCAGCTGCTGTTTGTATGGTTTGGCTCGTGCCTAAAAAACAGGCCTCACATGACATAAGCAAATAACACCCACATCAATCCCAAAGCCTCACAGCATAGAAGCAGTTAGCTCATATCCACAGCTTTGGGGGGGGGGGGGCGGGAAGAAAAAGAAAGGTAAGTGGTCTTTGTGCAACCAACTAGACGAACTAGTTAGTAAAAGATGAATAAAGTCGCTCAACAGCTTCTATCCTGGCAAAGCTGGTGCCCAGGCCAGGGTAAGAGACTTGGTGGACCGAGGTGTCTCGGGCTCAGTGCCACCTTGTGGTAGTTCATGATAGCAAGAAAACCTCAGCTACACTAACAGCAAATCACTGCAGAATAAATTAAAGCTCCAACAATTGCACATGGTAAATGGTATAAATCACTGAGAATATGTAAATTTGGCCATAACTTCTGTAGTTACACACGGAGCAGCTCGCACCACCTGAATGATTAATGAGGCAAATGCCTCCCAATTATGGATTGCTGAAGGTGCACAGAGTATGAGTTGCATGTAATTATAAATCCAAAGAACAGATGGAAAATTTTGCTACATCAAAACACTTGCTCCTTATTAGCCCTTTCCTGCTCTGTGCAAGCGAGGCTGTGGAGTGCTGGCTGCATTGCTAGGACATTGCTTAGCACTCCGTGCAGGGGCTGGGCCTCCACTTCAGCCACGCGCTACCTTACTGAGCCGGGATTGCCCGTGTTAGCCCGGGCCCCCTCCCTCCCCTGGGAGCCTTGCAGCAGGTGCTGGCTGCTTTTACAGGTGCAGTGCCCCTGCCCTTAGTGCTAGGCTAACTGCAGAAACTTGGGAGTCAAGGCAGTTGTGTGAAAAACAAACCCAGAATAAAAATCTCTCAGAGGCCAGCTTGCCTTTAAACACTAGCTTAGTTTTTTTCCATGCTTTTTTCCTTCAGTTTTTGTTTGTTTGACTTGGGCAGCTCTGCATCACCCATTCACACTCAGTCTTATACTTCCCTCATAACCAGTCTAGCCAGACCAGCTGTTCTGGTACCAGCCCTGAGCTTGGACCTACAGAACCTATTGATATTGCTGATTCAACTCCAAAAAAATCTTTTCTGAATAAAATCAATGAAATACTAACTCCTCCCTGCACAAAATGGGTAACAAATATTTGGCAGGTAACTGCCAAAATCTCAGCACAAGTCATACTGTTACTAGCAGTGTACTAAATATTACTGGAGGGGGAGGAAAAAAAAAAAAAAGGTGGAGAAACTGTGAAAAAGATCTTTAATGAATATTCCTTAGCGAGCTAATAGGCTAGATGATGCACCAGGGACACTGCTACTTTTCTGCCTCAAAGGGCACTCAAGGAAGGCAGACAAACCCTCACTTGCTTGCAGGTAACACAGTGGCTCGCTAACACTCTTAATGTGTTCTGGTCTCACAATCTATTGAGGGTATCTGAACTACCCCGACATTTCCCATTTCCGACATTCCCCATTTCCGACCTTTTTATAGTCTGTTTCACAGTGTGTTTTGGTGACAAGTTCTAGTTTTATTGCTACTTTCCACTGACTGCTCTTCTGTCAACTATTTGGGAAAGGCTTCCATTCAGTGATAGCCTTTAAATTCTTGTAACTTGGGGTTCCTTGATTAAACTAGATTTTTTTTTTTTTTTAGGTCTATATAACACGTTTTTTTAACTAAGCCTTCTTAGTTATTAGAAATTAGTTTTCATGCTAGATAAATTCCACTCCAGGGCTTAAGCCTTGTGAAGACCTTTGATGTTTATCTAGTACTATATTAGTACTTAAGCAATGGCCATTTCTCAGAGATTATTGCTTTGTAGACATGTAATTAAGGGCATTTGCAAAGCATGATTGTTATGCTTTGGTGTTAGATATTGCAGGGCACTGAATCATATTACAATTTCTTTGCTGAAGACGATGGAAATGCTGTGATTTCAGGCAGTTGTACAGAATTTTAGCTACTTATTCAACTTGTAGTAAATTAGGAATTGGGTTTTTCCATGTTGATTTGATTACAGTTAAAGACAAATGCCAGTATTGTACAGGATACTTCATTGTACTGTGAAATATTTTTGCAGTTTGCTACAACGATAACTGCTGGATCTATTGAAACGTGAATAAGGCCCTTGTTAAGTTTCATTTTCCATCCTAGACAGTGTTTATTAAACCCAAAGTAACTTCGCCAGTAACTGTAAGCCAGTATAAAATTACAACATGATTGATTGTAATTGCTTCTTTTTATAAGACAGATGAAGGCAAATAATATTTTTAAGTGTCTCTAACTTTCCAATGCTATGCAGACTCCCATATACTTCTGTTTGTTAATCTTTGTAAATCCGTAATTTAGCGATATATGTATTTATTTGAAAAAGAACTTTTTTGATTCTTATTTTTTAATTACATTTATTTTAAAAAATGAATTAAGATTTAATTTTTCTCACATATATTCCATCAGTATATTTTCAGCTTTGTGATTGATTTTGTTCCATTCTCTCATTAAAGATTGCCAGTAAGTCCTCTCAGAGAAAAAGGTGTACCTGGGAAGGCATGATATTAGCCAGGACTCCCAGTACCTTTCTCTGTTGAGGACATACTTACATGTGCTCTTTGTTGCTAATCAGAGGACCCTAGTGTAGCTGCGTGAATGGGAAGGCACATTTTTCTTAAGCAGCCACAGGCTGAGCATGTAACTGGGGTATTTATGGCCTCTGTCACGCTCCCTGTATGAAAGCAGAAGACCCTACAGCTGCCATCAAGGGGCAAAATTTGAATCCAAGTCCAGATTTGAATTTGAGAGATAAGCAAAGCTCTGAGTTCCCAGTTTTGCCTTTTTGTTTTCAAAATGCAGAGCTAGATTGAGAGTTCACCCCTGAAAAAGTTTGGGAAGGTGGGATCATTTCAGACTTCGTATTCCTGCTTTTAGAGACCTTGTTTTGTAACGTCCCAAAACACAGGGCAGTCGTAAGTTACATTCTGGCTCAGACTCTTTCAATGTAACATCTCCAGTTTCTTCACTTATGAAGCTGGTCACAGAAAGTCCTGTTTTACCTATAGGATTCATTATTGAATTACAGCTTCTTAATATTAGACTAGGTTTTCAAGTTAACCCTTATGCAGAGTTTATTTCTCCTTAGTCATGATTTTACTGTTGGAGAAGTACATCTAGCAAGATGCCTAGAAAACAATTAAGCCACTAGAGGATTTCTTTTCCTCGTAAAGGCTCTATTACTCTCTGGTAGAGGGGTATGTTAAGCTTGCTACACCCAGAATCAGTTGTTGCTTCATTATTTTGTTATCAGCTTCCTTGTATGGTGAGAGATTAAAACAGGTGAGTGCAAAGCGTAGAGTTACTGAGCACTCTGAATATAAGTCAAACATCAAACTAGTTTTTGAAATGCAGAACTACTGAGCTTTCACTTTGTCACACAAGCAGATATTGCCTGAGGCAAGGAGGAAAAGAGTGATTTTATTTTTTTCTTCTCATGGCTGCTGAAACTTGCATTACCTGAAGAACTGGAGACTCCTCACAGCTACTGGTTAGATGCCTTTCAAGCTCCACTTCTGCCTAAGGGCTATGAGTTGTGCAGCTGCAGTGAAGAGATTTTCCTGTTGTGAATCTCTGTAACTTGGGGACCTGCTGCTAACTGTAGTAAGTAAATGGTTGGTTGCTTTAGATTACGAGGGAGCTTTATTAATTTAGGACTCACACAATGTTATTATTTACTTTTTTTCTCCACTTTAAGAACGGCAGTATGGGAATGAGTTGCTAATGAGTAGAGCTGAAATACCTAAGCGGGAAGACTTTATCCTGGATCAAAGTGTCAGTTAAAAGAGATTGAAAGATGTAATCAAAGCTATTTGCTGTATGTACTACCCTCTCATAACTGTGGCCTGCCATACATACATTCTGGCTACTTTTTAATATTAGCCCAAGTTTGTCTACAGGAAAATGCCTGAACATGGTGACTTTCTTATGTCTTTTCCTGGATGTCCAGGAAATAACAGTAAAAGCAAATAACTCTGCAGACCAAACGAAATGGGTAGGAGCCCAAAGTCTTCAGTAAAGAAGTTCTTCTGTTTTGTTCATATCCACGTTGAAGTAAAATTACAAGGAAATATAATCTCACTTTTACAGCTCAGAAACTCATGATACAGAATCCTAGGAATTACAGGACAGTCGGTAGAAAATTCAGCAACTCTGCCCAGTCTCACAGAGGTGATAAGCCACGCATCAGTCCTTATTGTTTTTCTTCTTGCTGCACATGCATCCATTGAAATCTCCCTATTGCCATTACATATATCTTAAAATAGAACATGTCCAAAACACAGTGGTTTTTGTAAGTTTTTGAAGGGTGAACTATTGGCAAGACTAATAACAAAAGTAGTTCATTAAAGAGCAAGTCCTACACAAGACTAACAATGTTGTAAGGTATATCCTCAGATCAGAAGACCTTCTCTGCAGGAAAGTAGACTATGACAGTATTTTCTACTTAACAACTGTCCAAAGTCTCCTTTTCAGCACACTTGAATATACTTTCAGCACTTTGAATATACTTACTTTGAAAACAGTGGGGCCATCTTGTTAAGATTTTTAGGTTACATAACAAATAAATATTGACAATTAGTATCATATGTAAAATTATCCCCCTCGCTGTCACCTCCTCATTATTATTAATTTTTCACCTAAAAGTAACTATTAGTGACTCCCACGGTCAGGTATTAACAAAATCTTACAGAAAGATATACCTAAAAAGGATAAACATGAAAATCTCAAAGAACAAATGTATCTGTCTTCCAAACAGAATGACTGTTTAAGACCGAACCTCATTAGGGTCAGGTCCTTTAGGCACACATCCTCTCGTTATTTATTGTCATGGTTTAGTGCAGACTCCTCAGTGTAATTCTCAATCAGTTTCTAAATAAATGTCTCTGTGTGGTAGATGTGATCCTACTGGATCTGAGCAGCAGGTTTGAATAAATTCATGGTACCTCTACTGAAAAAGAACAAAATTTCACATTTCAGGCACTCAAACATCTTAGAGATTGACAGTTAGCAACACTGAAAGGACAAGAAGCAAAGGTAGGACTGACAAGAGATGGCCACAAACTAAGGTAATCGTGACTGTACAATGTAAGAACCAGAGCATGACACTGCCAAGCAATGAGCAAACCAAAGATGCACATAGAGCTACTTACGTTGAGGAACCTCCTTGTATTGGGGCACTGAATCTCTGGATTCCTCACCTTGTTCATAGCTGTGACTTCTATAGGAGCATTTAGGCCCAGGATCTCAAAAGTTTTCAGGTACTTCAGACCTGGTAGATTTGGTCTAATAATTCATCTCATCTGGAACACTAAAGTTTCCTGTCATGCTGTGAAAGAGTAATAAAGACCATATAGAATGGTTATGACACAGATATTTCTAAGATGATGAGAGCCTGAGTCATTTTTCTTACAAAGCTTGTCACACCAAAGGGTTCAATAGTGGTTACACTTTGGACAAAAAAAATGCATGATGATGATTTACATATCTTATTGTAATAATGATTTACATTTCTTATTGTAATAAACTCCTCAGAACAGTTAAAGATGTTCAGAGTACCTCAAAAATTTGCATCTCTGATTAGGCCAGGGTGAAGTTCTCTTCAAGGAGAAAGGCCTCCAATGTGATCCATTTTTTTCTCCTGTAGTTAAAAATTCCTGGGCTGATTCAGTGCCAGGGCTTGTGAGCTGCCCTCTGGAAGCCCTCCCCATCCTTGCTCTAGAGGAGGCTGGAGGGGGAGCGCAACGGAAAGTTTCTCTCCTCGCCAGAGGACGAGTGCACAGGCCGGTCCCTGCCAGAGTGATGACTTCTGAATCCCTCTCTTGGCTCTGTGCACTGCAGTTATTACAACCCAGAAAAAAGCATTTTCTTAAATTTCATGTTTATCACTCTGCATAATAAGGTTTCCTCAGTAAGGTCATAGTATAGCCAAACAAAAGTAAAACTGGCCAGGATAATAGTATGATAACTGAGAAGTTTTGTTTTGTTTTCATCTCAGTTTGGTGAATAGGGCTGTTAATACAAAGATTGTCTCTTTTAGTGTACCTGTTAATGTCATAGCCATTCTTTGCTGAATGCACACCTATGAAACTGTGTGTGTGCAATAAAACCCTTAGTTTATTAAGTGTTTTTTTTTTTCTATTCTGCTATGTCAGTCTAAATTCACTTTGAAGGTAGAGATGATGGAATCATTCAATATATTGTGTGCACAAGGTTGTGACCTCTGCAGTCAGCCCCTGAAATACCACTGTCTTTTTACTTCTGGAACAGCTGAAATGAATCATAAGGTAGCCTCATACACAGGATTTTACTAAAGTTGAGGCCTCTGAATATGCAGTATTCAAGTGCTTTTGTGATCTCATTTCCACATTATTTGCAATCTGTAACATTTCAAATTTTAAAACAGGAGATAGAATTTTTGCTGAATATCTTGTTTCTAAGCAAGGTCTCAGTTCTGCTAAAGCTAACATGTGAATAGTCATATGTCTGTAGAAGTACCACTGTTTTCTGCATCCATGTGTGTAAATGGATTTGCAGGAGACAGATCTTAAAAGGTACCATTGCACCAACTAGCAGGAAGATGCAGGTACAACTCTGCTGTCAGTGCTGGACCATGCTGTGGGAGACATGACTTGGACGCTGAGGCAGCCTGGTCCTGGGAAGGAGTGAAATGTTGAGGCTTGAAACTGAGCCCAGGAGGGCTTCTTGTTGCTCCTGTCACTTAGACTTAGCAGGTACTTGCCTACGCCAGCCTAGAAGTTGCCTTACTCAGTAATTGCCATGGAGTCAGATGCTTAGTCCTTCTCTTCCACCTGATGAGGGCTTGAAAGAGCGGGTTACACAGGACCATATACTGAACAGTAACACCTAAGCCACAGCTCAAGCTCATACTGGGTCCCAGGTAGTTTCCCTGACCACGATTTCCTCGAGGGGAACACCATAATGCAGCACTCTGAGACTAGATCACTGGGTTAATGGCACAAGTTGTACTTGTTTAGGCAACGTGAAAACAGACTCTCAGGAGTCTGAGAACAGATATAATTTGATAAAGCATTTTCAAAGATAAAATCTTTTCTACTTATTCCTTAATGGTACAAGACCTGTAGGAAAATATGTTGACAGAATGAAAGGCCTAGGAGGCCTAAGTTTAACCTCTCTATGCTCAGGGAATAAAGCTCTGTCAGGGAATAAAGCTCTGTCAATGAGCTGGGGAAAAAACAGGCTGTCCTGCTCACAAAACAGTCTTTTTTTTTTTTTTTTTTTTTTCCTTCTTCTTCTACATGAATGAGTGTGTGTCTGCTCATAACCCACTTCTTTCCAAGGCTTTCAGGTTTAGGAGTCCCTTTGATGCTAGATCACTGCTGGGAACAGTAAACCCCTCAACCTTTGATGGGGCTGCAATTATTCCCTGTAGTCAGCAAGTCCATTGTTTCCTCCAAAACTCCAAAACTGTGTCACTGCTTCATTTTGCATAGGCTCCTCTCTTTATCCTTTTTAATTTAACTCAAGACAGTTAGGAAAGTTACAAATCAGACAGCCTGAGGGGCATGCAATATTATTGTATAAAATGTACATAATTTCCTAATTTTCTGAAATATACGTGACTAAAATCAGATCAATCACGACCGCAACAGTCGTTTCTGCTTTTTCTGCTGTTTCTATCAGCAGGTCTGTCTGATGTGCATGCAGTTACTAGCAATATAGCAGCAGTGGTAGCCACAGTAAGAGCCACAAGAACGTAAAAATGTGTGTCTAGCCCAGGGTTTGAGGATTTCTTGTCTCAGTAAATGTTGGTGCCAATGTTTCTGAAGATTTCAGCCTGTCTGGAGCATTAAACTGTTACACTGGCCAGTGCAGTCTAGTAATGGTAACCTAAGCTACAAGCAGCAGGGAGATATTTGTGCTGTGCTTTGCTTAGAGCAGCGCTCAGTGCCTGTGACATTGGCTGGCAGTGACTGATTAAGATACAGGTGCTGTGGTGCTGTCAAGAAAGAAGAAAGAGGCCTCGGAGTGCTGGTCTTGCTTGCGATCTCCAGCAGAGCCGCAGCCAGACCCCAGTGCAGAGCAGCATCGTGCTCTACCACCTTTTCAGAGAATTACTGCCTAGCCAATCCAAAAGCAATTAGGACCATACCCTTTTTTCCCTACACAGCCTGTCCCCTCCACACAGAGTCCAAAGACTATCTATTATAGGTGATTGAATCCTCATGTCTGGGGAGAGCACTGTGATAGGCAAGAAGAGACGTGAGGACACAAATATGAACTCTATAATGAATCCTATCAGGAAGCTGTTTGGAAGGCGCTCTCTGCAGCACCAGGACCAGGAACTAGTGAGGAGAGATGCTGAGCTACCTAGTTCTGCTTTAGGGAAATGACTTCACCAGAGCAACAGTATATTCTGGCACTTCAATGAATGATGCAAATAGGAATTAGTCATCATTTTCCATGGCTTTAACTTGTCATCTTTAAAAAGCATGCCTTCAGAATTCCCTTGAATCCTTTTTTTTTTTTTTTTTTTTTTTTTTTTTCTGGACATTAAAAAGCTCATACTGTTAATGTGAATGGTGAAACAGATTTCTTTGCTAGGTATAGACATTTATTATGCATGCTGGTTGCAGCAAGACTTTTAGTTTTTACTTAGTTTAATTTTTACAGATGTCTCCCAGTAAAATACATGGCTTCTCTCCATGTACTTTTTCATCCTATCTTTGCTAGTTATTATTTCCTCTGGGAGGGCCATGCAGAAGCCCTCAGAAAGAGTGACATATGTCCATCCAGCGTATTTAGACTTGGGGATACTCTTCAGCTCAGAACTACATTTTTGGCTAGATAGAGTCAATGCTTCTGCTTACTGCCTGTGTGGGCAGGAATCCAGGCAGGAAAAAAAATCTGCACTCTTTTCAGAAATCAAAATCTCTTCAGACCTCTGAGTTTCCTCCTCATTTTGTGCAAGGCCAGATGTCTTTCTGTCTCCCGGGCAGTGCAAGAAAAGTATTTCCCCTCCATGAAGCAGAGGCCAGAGGAGATTAGAAGGACTCTGCTCCTCCTGAAAGGAGGGACATGGACTTCCAGGAGCCTTGATTCTCCAGGCCAACCTGTCTGCTTTCATCACAGCTTTCTTAATAAATATTTATTGGGCACTTCACATGTTCCCTCCTGCTCTGTCTAACAGAGCTGATTATTCCTAGGGTCAGGTGGTTACATGAGCTAATTAATATTCACAGGCAGCAATAGGAAATAAGTACAAGCCCCATCTCCTCAGCTTTAATTACAATATCATTGCTATCAAATTCCATGTGGATACACCTCCCACATCAGCACCGAACAATTGCAGACATGTACATGAACAGGATTCACTGCCTTTAACTCATGATCTGCTGTCATTACAATATAATTACTCTAATGTATCTTTACTGTGCAACACCTACCAAAGCTAATAACCATAGAATATACCATGTAATTAGAGGATAGAGATGTTTATATAAGCCATCAGTTTACAGTGTCTTGCAGCATTTCCTCTAGTCCCATTATTTAACATATATAGGAAACCTAAGTCTGTTTTCTTTTCCACCTTAACTTTATGGAATAGTTATACTAGTCTAGCACTGAAATCTGCTAGCACCAACTCCCACTGGTACTGAATCCCCAGTGCAAATGCAGCATAGAAGTCAATAAAGCAGATCTGGAAAGAAACTGGCCCACCTTTGCTAGCAATGTAGATATAGAAGAATAGAAGGTGGCAAGTCAGGGGAGAACAGCTGCACATGTTGCCATCTTGCCAAGCTATGGGTGATGCTGCAGCCTTGGTTAGATCTTGCTAAGACAGATTTGAAGAAAAATGTAGTATTGGCTAATTAAGCTGGAGAAGAGCATTTCATTAAGTGCTGAGGGGGGAGTCAAATGAAAGGGCAGCTATTTGGGCTAGTTAGGGAGAATGGGGTAGGCTTCCAAGTGTCTTGGTGTCAAAGAGTGTGTTTGTGCGTCACAAGGGGCAAAGGATGAGACAGTGGGAGAAAAAGGGAAATCTGTCAAGTGACAAGTCATGATGTGCAATGGCCCTTTTAAAATCTGTGAGTGGTAAAGCATGGGAAATGTATGTGTTTCTTGGCAGAGTACTTCATCTATGGGAAGAAACCTTTCAAATGAAATGGGAAATTAGGAGCTGACAGGGTGCTTTTCATTCCCATGTATTACCTGTCATATTTATACTGTATGTGTTTGTTGGTGATCTGTAATGTGCTGTTAAGTAAGTAGTTTCTGCAAATTAACTGCTTTATATCCTAGATTCTCATAGAAGGATCAAAAATACTTGGTGAAAGCAATAACAATCAGCCTCAACAGCACGAGTTATTCTCTTTCACACACCTTCTACTGGTCTTGGATAAGCCAAGAAACAAACAAAAATAACTGCGACTTTAAAATAGATATTTCTCAGCATTAACTAACTGGAATTTTCTCTAAGGAAAATGCTAGAGAGTTCCTGAACCCAACCCTTTGCATGACAGTAAGCGTGCATCTAAAACTGAATGAGTTCACCTTTAGGGAGACCTCCCCAGCTGCTGAGCCCTGGAGAAAAAGCTGTTTTTTAACTTTTTAACATGAGTGTTGGAATCCACCGTATAAGAATAACAGCAATATGCAGAGAGACCTGGGAGGGGCAGGTCTCTAACGGCAGTTCATGCAGAGAAATGGACTGAGTGGTTTAGGAAATTCTGGATAAGGCTGATGGTTACAAAGGCACCATCGCTAACTTTAACAAAGGCTGCCTGATCCTAGGGCAGAAGGCAGGAAGTTCCAGAATGGAATAGGGAAATATTGTTCTATTTTAACATCACACTGGCATTGTCAGATGATTCATAGGCTCTGGAGAACACAGACATTACCAGCTCAGCACATCTGTATACCAGTCACTATTTGTCATATGTGAGTACTTCCCACAGTCCTGAAAAAGGATTTGTTTTCTGTAATATCTGCAGGAAATGTAGCAAACTTCATACTGAACAGCAAAATAAAAACAGCACTTGATTGTTTTATTGAATATTTGCCCATTTACTTGGGAAGACTGCACTTTAGGATTTTTTTTTTAATCTAATAAAAAGACCCCCCACAGCTGTCATCTTTTCAGAGAAAAGCTGTCAACATCCAGTATCATTTTTGTGCATATTGAGAGTAAAGTAGTTCAAAGTCCCAGTTCCATTTTAATATGTGAGATGCTCTCCTATTTGTATGCAGCTGGAGAGAGCAGTTTTATCCTCATTTAGGAAAGCCATATGACAGATTTCTTGCTTTAAACAAATACCATCTCAAACTTTATTTTTCCCTTTCCCTCAGCATACACCTTTCCTCTGTTGTTAGGCACTAGTGGGCTCAAATCCGCACATAGTGTCAACATATTATACAAAAAAATGATGCTAGTAACATTTCTTTTTTTTTTTTTTGATCAGCCTGTTCATGATCTGCTAGAATAACTGCCAGTTTAACTTTTTATTAATATATAATTTTTGCAAAACAGTTGGTGGGGAGATTTCTTTGCACAGTCTTGAATAAGGTCTTCACTGCCCTTTCCTGAATTTTCTCATTCCAGCGATGGACAGTTCTAATTTGGCTCCTGCAGAGACTCCTAACCATGTAGGAATTATCCTGCTGCATCCTGAAGACTAGTGCTGAGTACTCGGTACCAATTCTTTCCTATGTGTGAGTACCAACTTTATTTGCATCTAGGGGTACTGCAGAGGTGCACCCTATACATGGGTTGCAGGCCTGTCCCCATAAATGCAGTTTTTGCAGGTCAAGAGTGCAGGGTTGCACCTTAGTCTGACAGAAGGGACACAGTAATGGTCAAGATGCCAACCAACCTTGGCTGCCTTGGCTTTGGAGTAGATGCTCTGTATAGGCGCTCTCTCTCTCTATATATATAAATACAAACATAGAGAGAGGTAGATTTTTAGTAAAATTCACTCATAAGTGATGTATATTTTCTTAAATTTTTATCAAGTTTATATGAGAGCTGTATTTTTTTCAATTGAGCACACCAAGAGCAAATGCCATCCTAATTATATGCATGACAGAGATCTTTAACATCCACAGCTGTGTGGTATTTTCAGTGTTTCTGTCAAATGGGACAATAATAGCTGTGCAGGCACAGGCAGATGTAGTGTTACTGAGTCAGAAAGCTTTGCACTCTGCACACACCCTCACTGAATGTTTGTACATACGCTTCATCACATCTTCACACTATAAAACAGAGATGGTCGTGGTTAAAAAGCAAGATTGCTGAAGGTTACAGAGCATTCAACAGCTCCAGAGTTGTGCTACCACATATACTACCACTAGCCTATACACTACCAAGAATCAAGCTTCCACTCTGCCTTTCTGCCAGTTCTTACAGGCAGAAAAGCACCAGCTCCAATAAGCCAGGTGGTTAAGGAACAGGTTTGTAGTGATGGTGTAAAGGACTTGATGCAAGGAGTGAGCACTGAGTAATCCCCAGAGAGTGCTCAAATTTGGGTGTTCTGCCCCACACTTCTGAATACTTTCAAAATCTTCTATAGAATTAAAATTCTGAAAATCTTACATTGAAAAAATTATTTTGATGCTGATTATTTTATCTGCCACAACTGAAGCCAACTGTACAGATACCCAAGTACCCTGGGAAATAGCCCCTTATGAAAGCAGCAGATGGGAGAGCCCCTGGGGTTGCTTTTTTCTCACCTGTCAATTGAATAGGAGACTCAGAAATAGGGAGATTCCCCACCTTACCCAGCCTTCCTGGTGCTTGCATCCCAGAGCACAGAGCCTCTACCAAGCACATTTTCCTGTGGTTTCCAGTCTTCCCCTTTCCTGGGCCGAGGGGGGCTCCAGTTAAGGTGTCACCATAGGGAGGGGGGGAGCAAAGCCACATGAGCCCTACTTGACCTCAGAAATTCAGCATTTCCTGCTCTAGCACAGACATCTGTGAGATCTGGGTTCAGCTGCAGGAATGTAGCAGTCGTGTCTTGGAGTCCCAGGAAGCTCCCACAGAAGGGCCACTGCAAAGCAGTGCAAGAGGGAAACTTGCCTGTGTTTCAGGAAAAAAAAAAAAAAAAAAAAAAACCTTGACCCAGAGAAATTCCTGAGAAATATTTTTGTTTTCAGTAACTCAGCATTTTCTCATGAAAGATTGCTTACTGGAAAATTTCTGCTTACTTTGAGCTGAGAGGACATTATTCTGATGGACATAACACGTTTTGGATGAAATGGAGGAATGTTAAGTTTGTTTTTCTTGCCAATTTCTATCCTGGTGGTAGATAATTTCCTCTTTATTTAAATCGACTTCACAGTGTTAACAGTGCAGCTTTTTTAGCTCTCATTCTGTTTGGGCGTCCTTGTGCAGTTAAATATTGTCTGTGCTTCATCTCCTGTGTAGCTGCATTTCTCTGAGTTAGGTGATATGTTAGAGAGTAAGATATCTCTATATAAGTGAAAGAGAGCTTTGGGGTTTGTAAAATCATTTGGATTACTGCAACATCATTGGTGCTATATGAAGGAATATTTTTAGTAGCTGAGAAGTTTTTGCATAGCAAGGTGTAATTCCACACACAATGTGACTACACTGTATGTCAAATTATTTTATGCCATTTTGGTGCATGACTGCACTACAGAGTAGCTGTTGTATTTTTCTATCTCCTTGGGAATATTTATTAGCGTGGCAATGATACTGCATGGATTCCAGCTAACACCCAGGCCCCCGTTGTGCTAGGCACTATAGCAACAGACAGTGAGACAGTCCTTGCTTCTAAAGACCTTTCTGTCCAAACAGACAAGATGTTGCCAGACATTCAGTTCTTAGTTGTTGCAAAACACCAGCTTTGATGGTACTGAGAATTACAGTGAATAGACTATGATGATAATAGCTGTGGGTCAAACTTGCATATGTGGTGAGGTACCCCAAGCCAATAAGAAAACATGGGTGAAATCCTGACACCACTGAAGAAATGTTAAAACTCTTAGAGAATTTTAGCAGGATTCACATTTGTCCTTTTTGTTCCTGTTTCACCACATGCATGTCTATCCGGCATGATGAAGCATCATGTGCTAAGACTGCCAAATAAGCTTGGATACTAGATGTAGAACTGCATTATTGACATGTTGTTCCTGTCAGATTAACAAAGCCCAACAGTGCTGCGTGCCATTGCTGCTAGGCTGTGTCTGCTGCTCCCTCGGAGCCTGCGCACTGCTATTCCTATGGGATATTGCATGGGGCCATCTCAACCCAGCCACACACAGCTCCGTGGTAGCTGCGTTTTTCTTTCTGTCACATGTATGGGAACAAGTTGTAGGCGGGGGGGTTCACAAGCTGCCTAGCTTCACAAGTCTGTCACAAAATTACTACTGTTAAGCCATAGCCTTCATTATGGCCTAAAATACTTCATGACCTCTCTCCATTGGCAACAGTGCAGGGGCTATTCAGATGACACTGAATTCCCTTAATCTGCTCTATTTCTTGCCACAAAGCCTTTCTCCAAAGAGCAGACATTAAAAATGTTGCTGAGGTAGAGCTTATAAGCAGAAGTATCCACAGTTATGATAGTGGTGATCTTGCTTTTTTTTTTTTTTTTTACATAATTATTTACCAACATTACATAGTTCCCCAGCACTAACAGAAGATTCAGGTAACTAGTATTTCATCTTTTGTAATGTACATTAAACTGATGTAAGGTACATTAAAGCAAAGAAAATCATGACTTCATACATTCCCAAGTCGTTTACCTGAGCATTCAGACTAGAAATATAATATACAGGAGATTTAAGAGATGCTCATTTTGCATCTCTGGGTTTATCATAAGATTAACGGTCTTTATTATTTTGCAGAACAAGCAATAGCACCTCACCAAGTGTATAATCACCTCAGTCAAAAGACAAATAAGCTTTTACTTAATGTGCTAAAAATATAGTTGAGAAATCTTCAATCTGAAGGCGTGTGATAAAATAGAGTGTGTTGACTGAGCAGATCATCATCTGCTGCTGCTGTTCAGAATCCTTCACCCTAACAATGCTTGACTTTCTTTCTCCACCAAATTTAGAGATGATGTCAGTGTAACTAACCCCAGGAGTTCAAAAATCAGAAGACAAACCAGAATAGAATCGCAGGCTTGATGTCAAAGCCATGAAAGTTACTGAAACTGAAGCGTATGATTTGGCGGGGGGGGATGGGGGTAGGGGGGTCAGTCTTTAGATTTTTTTTTAATTCATAGGAGGCAGCCTTCTCCCTTCCAGTTGTCGGCTCAGTTCTCCTGGCTGTCTGATATGCCCTATTTCAGTGCGAGAGGCAACACAGGATAACGGGAAGCACAAAGGACTGAAAGTCTATTTAAGTTTATTTAAAGCTCAATTCTCCACCATATGTAAAGCCTTAATCCTGCAAATACCTTAACTGAATGCTTGAGTCATACGAACAACCTCATGGAAACCAGAGAGGGTCCTCTTGTACTCAGAGCTTGTCACTTACATAAGATACTATTGCACATCAGAAATGTTAACCTGTGTCACACTATTAAGTATTATCTAAGAATGAAGAGGTTCACTCACTTTTCCTGTGATCTTAGGCAAGTCCTGATTCATTCTGTATCTAGCTTCCTGCTCTTTTGAAAAGAGGTAAAATACATCTCAAAAAAGTACTTGGAAGCCTCCAGGTAAAATATAATAACCCTCAGAAAATTAACAGTATTTTGCTGATGTAAATTGAATCCTAAATAACACAGGTGGAAAGAAGACTTAAAATAAGAACATTTTAAGAATGTTAAGAATATTTCAAAATGAGATTTCCTAAGGAAAATCAAATCTGTAGCTTTGGACTTGATGCAGTGCACTTCTGCTCTGCTCGGCAGCCAAGAGGGCTCATGCTGCCCAACTGTGAGAAAACCACACTTCATTTCACAGACTGGACCACTTGCAGGGTAAGCAGGGTCCTTCTCTGTATATAGGAGTACCAGGGAAATACAGTTTCTCAGGCAGAAATTTAGTGAGATCTGATCTTGAAATTTCTGAAATCACATTTCTCTGACTGAGCTGCATGTAAAGTCCTCTATTTTGGAGGCAGCTGTAGTATGTTAAGATGAAACAACTTTTTAGAAAAGTACTTAAAATAACGGGAGATTTTCATCTTTTATTAAACATTTGAAATGACTAAAAGATACTACCTCAGAGTGGCTTAGTTTAAAGAGGCAAATTGATACAGTTTGTTAATTAGACTATTAAAAAACTCATTTAGGTGTAAATAAGTCTGGGTCATAAAATCTTAATGTATAGCGTCAAAGAGAAACTTGAGTCTTCACACTTTATAGCAATGTAAATTCAAGACTCTAAAAATTAATTAAAACAGAATTAACATCAAAGAACTTACTTTTCGCCTCCCTTTTTTAAGGAAAAGAAACCTATTTAAGTAAGCAAAAGGGTCATTCCTGCTTGGTTCTCCCCTTATACATTATCTCTGCTTACAAGATGTTGAAACTGAGATGTGTAACATAAATACTCTGGTATCAGATGTTTTTGTGAAAATTTTTTTAAAGTCCAGTAGTGGACAGCTTACACCTTACAGGCAGCCAGTGATGTTGGCGGAAATTTTTATGGAAACGTTGGAATCATATTCTGTAAATTAAAGTGAAAAAAATTGTTATCTGTGCCTGGCAGAATCCATTCCAGACTTGAGAACAAAT